CACGGTCTGATCAACACGGTCTGATCAACACGGACTGATCAACACGGTCTGATCAACACGGACTGATCAGCACGGACTGATCAGCACGGTCTGATCAACACGGTCTGATCAACACGGTCTGATCAACACGGACTGATCAACACGGACTGATCAACAAGGACTGATCAATGTCTTGAGGAGCTCACTGAGTATAAAAGCTACAGTGATAAAGACACCGGCCCTCCTCACTCTGATTTAAATCTTGTTAGTTTCAACTATGAAACTGGGCTCAGCCTTAGAGATAGGGGGAGGAGTCAGACATCTGGAGGGAGCTCGGAGTAGAGCCGCTGCTCCTTCATGTTGAGGTGGTTCAACATCTGATCAGGACCCTCCTGGTCCAGCTGGTAGGAGGCCCCGGGGCAGACCCAGAACACACTGGAGGGATTATAGATCTCATCTGGTCTGGGAACACCTCGGGGTCCTCCAGGAGGAGCTGGAGAGTGTTGCTGAGGAGAGGAACGTCTGGAGGACTTTGCTCAGCCTGCTGCCCCTGAGACCTGGCACTGGACAAGTGGATGAAGATGGATGTAAAAACAGAACAAAAGCTGACAGGTGATAAATGTAATTTGCAATTTTGCTGCTATTCTTTACCTCTTGTGCAGCGTGCAGCGTGCAGCGTGCAGCATGCTCTCTCTGGAAGCAGCGAGCAGTCCAGAAAACAGAATAAGTCGAGGAAGTTCTCAGTTCTGCCCTCAGGCCGACGCCATCATGCGCCCACACGAAAAACAAGTCAATACACAAATTCCTTCGTTCCCTCTGCTGTCAGGACTCGAACTGTTGACAGGAACCAACCTGCAAATATCTGAGTCGCCCCTGTGCATCATGTGAATGTTCTTTTGTCCTCGTCTTTGACCTGCGTCCTCCTGTCTGCCAACATGTACGAGGCCTCTGCAGAGAGCCGGAATGACGTCATGGTTTCTGTCGCTGCAGCCTGTTGATCTGTGTACCTGTCCTCACTGACATGTTGACGTCTGATCACTGCTGTTTGTTTATTTATTTATTCTGTTTACATGGACGGGACAGGCTGCAGAAATGAGCTGCTCTTCTGGGACTAATAAAGTTTCTCTGGTTTATAAAAAAATAAAATAAATAAAATTCTGAATCTAAAAATTCAAATTTTGGTCAAAGTCCATATGTTTTAGTTTCCCAGGCTGCTCTGGGAATCTGCGACAGATAAAGCTGAGTTATTGATCCTTCAGTGTGCAGAGTCAGAGCGTTGGACAGGAACTGAGACAGGATGGTTCGATCCAAATATCGCAGCAATAACACGCACAAAGGAAACGATGGAGGCAGCAGCAGACACGTCGTCTGTCTCTGACATCACGTAAAATAACACACTGCACTCTGCAGAATTTCACTCTCTCAGGACACATCAAAGAAAACCTACTTCCTGTTTGTGGTTCCATCCTCACACTTCTATAACTTTCCATCACCATGGAAACAAAGCAGAAAACAGGAAGCGAGTGAATCTGCCTGTAGTGAAACCGGGGCTAACCGGTGCTTCCTCCTCAGGCTCCACTTCACTCAGCTGCCCCACAGACCTGCTGCTTCTTCACACTTTAACCTGAATAACAAACCGGAGCTAGCTGGGAGCAGCTAGCGGAGCGTTAGCCGCAGCATGACCGGAGGGAAGCACAGCCAGTTAGCCTCCGCTAGTCTCTGAGCTAGCCCCGGCTCTCTGTTTGGATCCAACCGGAGCACCGAGCCCTGGTTTGTTATTCAGGTTAAAGTGGGAAGAAGCAGCGGGTTTATCGGGCAGCTGAGTGAAGTGGAGCCTGAGGAGGAAACACCGGGACCGTCTGGATGTAATAGTCCGTGGAGGTGCTGCGGTGCTCGGCTGCACAGATAGGAAACCCCTCGGCTGACAGGATGTACCAATCTCTCACTCATGTCGGATGTAGTCTGTGTAGTGTGTTCAAATGCAACTGACACAGGGCGACGTGAGGCGACACAACAGTTGGCTTTCGTCGCCGCTAGTTCTTTGATGTCGGTTTGGTGTGTCCGCACCTTAATGCTTCAGCACACCAAGACATTTTGGACGATGCTTTGCTTCCAGCTTTGTGGCAACAGTTTGGTAACGGCCCTTTTCTGCTCCAACATGACGGTGCCCCGGTGCACAAAGCAGCGACTATAAAGACATGATTTGACGAGTTGGATGTTAATGAACAGAGGCCTGACCTCAAGCTGGACCCTCTCGTTCAACATCAGCTGACCTCATCAACGCTCTACAGAATGAATGGACACAGAAACACTCTGATGGAAATCCTTCAAAGACGAGCTGAAGCTGTTGAAGGGACTGACTCCATGTGAAGGTTCATGTGTCTGAGTCCAGTGTCGTCACAGTCCCTGTAGGTGTGACCGTCAGGCGTCTGAAGACTGGAGTCCTGACAGTGTCTACAGCTGTTGATGATGTCAGACAAAGTAACGCAGCAGTTTAATTTTTACTTGATAAATTAGTTGAACTATAATCTGATCAATAAATTAGTGGATTAATTTCCTGTCGACTAAATTGATTAGATGACTGATGGTCACATCTCTGAGCTGACATTCTTTTAAAGATGTTACAACAGTTTTTGATGTTGTGAGCAGGTCAGCTGATCTCTGATCACCTGACCATCACCTGTGTTTATTAATTGATCAGCTGATTGATTTGATGTCAATAAATGACCTGCAGCTCAACATGTTACTGAGCTTCAGTCATGTGACCTCACAGGACAAACACAAACCTACAGACCTTTAACATGTCAGTGACCTGATTCCTGCTATGTTCTGCCCTCTGATTGGCTCTGCTGTCTCCGGGTGTTACAACAGGCCACGCCCCCTCCTGAATATTTAATGAACCTGTCAGACACAACTGGGGGTGAAATCAATTATTAATAACTGACCTGAAATCTGCTGCACATTAAATCTGACAAAAACAACTAAGTCTGCCGCAGTGCCCTCAGACACTGATGATGTCACAGTGATGTCACAGTTATTTCCTTTTCTCTAGTTTTTTATTTGTTGTGATTTATTTATAAAACATGTCGTCAGTACGTTCTGATGTTTACACACTGTAAACATGTAAACACTGGCTCCTCCAGAGTCGTTACATCACAGCGCTCTCTGTTCACTGATCCAATCAGCTGCAGCGGCGAGACGAAGGAAGTGTTTGAGACACAGATGTGTTTGAGACACAGGAAATGCTTGACACACAGGAAGTGTCTGACAAACAGGAAGTGCTTGACACACAGACTCTTGAGATTCTTTTATTGAGTTTCCGTCAGCTGCTAACATGTCTCATAATTACAAAGATTCTTTAACTGGTGATTCTGGAAGAAACAAAGCAGTAGTGTTCAGGTGTGCCCCCCCCCCCCCCCGAGGTCAGAGGTCAGGGGATGGGGTCGAAGGGGGCAGCAGGAAAGATCATCACTGACACAAAATCAAAGATTATTTTTCTCCTACTACAACAACAACAACAACAACAATGATGATGATGATGATGATGATGTGCAACTTTAACAAAACTTTAAAATTAATTCATACAGTGTTTTTTCATCAGAGTGAGACCTCCCGTCTGTTAGCTCCACCGCTAACAACCCGCTAAAGCTTAACAGGAAGTTATTTAACAAAGAAGAAGAGAAGGAGGAGGTGGTGATTGGTCCCACAGAGCCAATCAGACTAAAGGTCAAAGGTCAAACACAGCAGCCATCAGCAGGAGCAGGGTTAAAACCAGGGGGCGGGGCTTCCCAGCAGGTAAAATCCAACAAAAATAAAAGCAGCAGGAAGCTCAGACTCACCCCGCCACAATAAAATCAAGTAAAATCTAAACTCTCAGTCTGCACCCTGATTGGTTTATTAAGCCCCTCCTCCCTCAGGTGTGGGGGGGCGGAGCCTCAGGGGTCCATCTCCAGGCCGTCCAAGGTGAGCTGGCTGCGGTGGGGGGAGTTTGGACTGGGGGGGCTGCTGGGGTTAGAGCTGTTGGAGGGGGTCGAGTGTTTGGTCGAGTCTGAGTCCGGCTGGATGGAACGAGAGAGAGAGAGAGAGAGAGAGAGAGAGAGAGACGGTAAGAGAGACACGGTTCAAGAGGGAGACAGGTAAAAAGAGAGATGGAGGGAGAGAGAGAGCGAGATGGTTAGAGAGAGAGAGAGGGGTAAAGGGAGAAATGGATGGAGAGAGAGACGGTTAGAGAGAGACAGTTCAAGAGGGGGACAGGTAAAGAGAGAGATGGATGGAGAGAGAGAGAAACAGAGAGAGACGGTTCAAGAGGGAGACAGGTAAAGGGAGAAATGGAGGGAGAGAGAAGGAGAGAGAGAGACACGGTTAGGGAGAGACCATTCAAGAGGGAGACAGGTAAAGGGAGAGACGGATGGAGAGAGAGAGAGATGGATCAAGAGAATGAGCGAGAGAGAAAGACACACAGAGATGGGTAGAGAGATACACGGTTAGAGAGAAAGAGAGAGGTAGAGAGAGAGAGAGAGAGAGAGAGAGAGAGATGGTTAGAGAGGGAAAAATTAGAAGACAGAGATGGTTAGAGAGAAAATGATGGGTAGAAAGAGAGATAGGTGGAGAGACAGATGGTTAGAGAGAGAGAGACAGAAATGGTTAGAGAGAGACACACATTGTTCAAATGAAACATCTCAATAAAGATTTGGTTTCAAACTTGACTCATCAGGTCGTGTATACGGAGCTCTGAGACTCCGCAGAAACCAGGACTCTGAGTTACCTCTCGGTCCAGGTCCTGGTCCGGTTCAGAGGTGCTGCGAGACGAAGCTCCTCCCCCAAAGTCTGAACCAATAACAACACAGATTACAGATGACGTCACAGCTTTCCCCTCAACAGAGTGTCATACTACACACTAAACACTACACAGTTTTAACTGCACTCTAATATGATAGAGTAAACTGCACAATAACACTGCAGGTTCTACACACCAATACTACACACTACACACTAAAACAACACAGTATGTGTGACATGTGATCATGACATTAACCTGTGTGTACTTAGTGTACAGATGTAGTTCATCACTTAATACTGACAGGAAATGATGTAATGTGTGACATCACATGAACATTTTGTTTTGTTTGTTAGTTTGTGTGTGTGTGTGTGTGTGTGTGTGTGTGTACCTGAGGCTGTGCGTGTGATGTGTGTCTTGCTCCTCTGTTGCCGGGAGATACTGGACAGTGGGCGGGGCTTGTCTTTAACCGAGTCATCCTGAGAAGAAGGCATCACACTCTGCGCACACACACACACACACACACACACGGACATGGACACACACACACACACACACACACACACACACACGCACATACACACATATATATAAAGCACATTAAAGCCTCCACGTGTTCACATGGTGTGTGTTCAGCGCAGGTGTGAACACTTTAAGGTGTGAACGCTTTAATGGTGTGAACGCTTTAATGGTGTGAACGCTTGAGGTGTGAATGCTTTCAGGGTCACTTCCAGGAGTGAACGCTGGCACGTCTGGCTGCCGCTGCTCGCGGGGGGGACGCTTTTAGTGTTTGTTTTTTTTAACGCTTTAATGATATTTTATTGTCCTACGGACTATGCAATTGCTGAAAGTGTGTTTCATTCATACTTTTAATTCTGATGAGCTATCAGTGCTAACGCTCATGGACGGATACCGACCTTTGCTTCACCTGACTGACTGGCTTACCTGGACGTACTGCTGCCTGTCCTGCCTACAATGCTGGGTGTTAACTCCTGCCTTTGGTCCGGGATCCTCTGGTTCCTCCTGAATTTAATCCATCAACCAGTGACAGGAATCCTGCAGTACTCTGCTGAAGAGCTGCTTCGTCTCAGCTTACAAGCGACAGGGCACTCGCCGGCTGTGCTTCACCTCCCGCCGGACATCGTTGTTCCTCTCCGCCGGAGATACATCCACCGAGGATCCGGTCGGTCGTTCCACTTGGACAACTCGGGTCAGATCAAGTCCATTTGGTCCACATCTCGACGCCCTCCTCGGAACACTGGCCGGGTTGCTGACTCCAGCGTGTTAGCCAGGCCTACTAACCTGGTTTACACGGCTGGTAACCATGGCAACACCAACACCAGCGTCAGCATTGGACAGCTTAACATCTGCTCGCTTACGAGTAAAGGACATCTTGTTCACGATCTCCTCACCGACCGTAAGTTTGGCTTTCTATGTTTATCTGAAACGTGGCAACAGCCCAATGACTTTACGTCCCTGAACAATTCCACTCCTCCCGGGTTTGTTTACACCAGTCAACCACGTGACTCCAGCCGGGGAGGAGGTCTAGCGATGATTTACCATGAGATGTGGAGAGTCTCGCCGGTCTCTTATCCAGCTCCAAAGTCGTTTGAATGCATTGTTTCACAGCTTTCTGGTTCTGTCCCCACAATAATTGCCACAGTTTATCGACCTCCTAAGCCTAACAAGGATTTTTTAACTGAATTCTCTACATTTCTCACCCATCTTACCACACTCACCTCAAATGTTATTCTGCTGGGAGATTTCAACATTCACATTGACAACAGTAATAATCCCCTTACCCATGACTTTACATCCTGCCTGGACAGTTTTGATTTACAGCAATACACCACTTTCCCTACACATTCCAAAGGA